CACAGGTGATGCACCTGTAGTGATATCCTGTGGCTTTGTCACCGCAAACAACACAAGGTTCGTCCTTCTCCAGGTAGCTGGGGATGTAGCCTGTAAACAAGCACACACCCATCCCCTCAGTCTGACATGCCACACACTCCATTCCAACCTGCACACCCTCATCCATTGTGCCACTTGCTTTCTGAAACCCAGCAAAACACGGAGTTCAGCACATAACAGTCTCACTATTACACGTGTCACTTAAGGGTTAAAGCAACAGTCTTAAGGCTAAGACCATGAGGAATTTCAAGGGGTCAGACAGACTTTGACCCATCAGGTGAGGACCTGGTGTCTTGGGTCTCAGCTGAGCTCAAACACACACAGGCTTGACAGTGAGGAGCAACAGAGAGAGAAAGAGAGAGAGAACCTTTCGTGTCAGGAGAACAACTCCATGAATCTCAGACATCTTCACATGATTTGCTGTAAAATGCAGGTTAAAGTGTGTGTTTTGTGGGTGAACCTCAATCAATTTATACACAACAACGCCCCCCGAACAGCCATGGAGTGGGGGATTGTTGACCAGGAAAGAGACACTTCCTTCTCTTTTCGAACAGTGAATGTCCAGTTGAATGTCAACAAGACTGAAGCCCTCCCAACATCCCCTTCACTCTACACCTCACGGAGCCAATACAGAATCTTGTTACCCTGTTCGACCCTCAAATGTCCATTACCCCCACATCCGTGCCATGACCCGCTCTGCCTTCCCCCATCTCCGTAACATCGCCCGTCTCTGCCACTGTCTCACACCACAGGCTGCCAAAACCCTCACACACACATTCATGTCTCTTGTAGCTCAGTGGTTAGAGCACTCGCTTTGCAATTAAGAGACCTGGGTTCGATTCCCAGCAGGGCGAAGCCTTGGGCAAGTTTCCTTATTCCACACGCCTGATAATAATCCCTCAAGAAAAAAAAACAATAATAAATTGGTCACTTCAATCCACGACTGTTTGTGGGACACTGCTTTGCACAATTGGCTGCCGCGTTTCGCCCACAAATATACAGTCGATTCACTTTACAGTCTATTCGGTGAAACGCTTTGAGACGTCTAGAAGACGAGAAAAGCGCTATATCAAATGTAAGGATTATTATTATAATATCCAGGCTTGACTACGCAAACTCCCTGCTTGTCGGCCTCCCCAATTCCTCCCTCCATAGATCATCCAGAATTCTGCAGCCCGTGTCCTCTCCTGCACTAGGCTCCACAACCTTATCACCCCATCCTGCCCCAACTCCACTGGCTTCCCATCACACAGAGGATATAGTTCAAGATCCTGGTTCTCACCTTCAAAGCCCTCCATGGTCTTGCTCCCCACTACCTTTGTGACCACCTAACACCCTACCATCCTCTGCTTAGTGGGCTCCAGCCTGCTTCCCGTGCCCCACCTCGCCTGCCCACCATTAATGAGTGGGCATTCTGCCACTCTGCCCTCACGATCTGGAACTCCATCACACAGTCCCTCTTCCTCCCTCCCTCCTTTGCCTCCTTCAAGACCCATCTCAAGACCCTCCTCTTTGACCATGCCTTCGGTCACCCTGCTACTCCTGCCCTCCACCCCTCCAGACCCCAACTACCAGCTCGGGTGCAGATCCCTAACTGTTGAGCACCTGGGGACATCCTCCTGATGGGAAAGGTGTTATACAGATGGAATTTACTGTTTTATTGCTGTGGGATCTTTAATGTCCATCTGAGCAGGCAGATCTTGGTTTAACATCTCATCCGAAGGACGGCACCTCCTACAATGCAACACCCCCCAGTGCTGCAATGGAGCATCATCTTAGACTGCGATTCCAAGGTCTGACGTGGGGCTTGAACATAGAACCTTCTGACTCAGATTGTCCTAACGCTGCAGCAACCAAAGAATAATAAATTGGTCACTGAATCCACGACTGTTTGTGGGGACGCTGCTGTGCGCAATTGGCTGCTGATTTTGCCCACAAAATATACAGTCATTGCACTTTACAGTGTATCCTGTGAAGCACTTTGAGACATCTTGAAGACATGATAAAGTGTTATATCAAATGCAAGGATTATTAATATTATTATTATTGTTATTATTGTTATGGTTATAGCTCCTGATTGTGCCGGTGCCTCTGCGCAGATGGGTTTCAGAAGCTCTGGTGCTATTTTCCTCCCCAGGTATTTGGTTGCTCCTGGTGTGAGAGACTCACATCACACACCAGATCTCCACTCAATCACAGGATCTCCCACTTCCCCACCAGCTGCACGTTTGCTTCCTCGACAACCACTCGCTTATGCGTGTCGACGGACAAGAAGACCCAGTGTATCAGAGGAGGAGGAGATGGGGGGAAAGGTGGTGTGGGGGGGGGGATATGTCAGCAAATCCAAGGCATTAAACGGCAGCTGGTAAATGGCTCCTCATTGCATAATCCGAGGAGATTGCGGTTCAGCCGGCCAGCTGCCCTGACCATCAGCAACAGCCACAATCATCAGTCAAGCAATTAACCCACAGCCAAGGCTCCGAGAGACCAGAGCCCACATGGAAAACTGACAAACACACCACTGTCAGACAATCCCAAAGATAAAGCTTTAACCCTTCATACGGACAGGTCCGGGGCAGCTCAGCAGCTCTGCCCTTACACTGCTCTGACACTGCACTGCCTCACACAATGCGCTTTGGAACGTAGGCAACTGAGGGGTTTCCCACCTGCAGCTCAGCGTCAGCCACTGGGCTCTGCAACAGGAGGAGCTGACCCTCAGCAGCACCGTGTGATGGTGTCTGTCACGGGCTGTGTGACGGGGTGTGTGACGGGCTGTGTGACGGGCTGTGTGACGGGGTGTGTGACGGGGTGTGTGACGGGCTGTGTGACGGGCTGTGTGACGGGCTGTGTGTGACGGGGTGTGTGTGTGAGGGGGGGGTGTGAGGTGGTGTGGGATGGGGTGTGTGAGGTGGTGTGTGTGAGGGGGGGTGTGAGGTGGTGTGGGATGGGGTGTGTGACGGGGTGTGTGTGAGGGGTTGTGGGATGGGGTGTGGGATAGGGTGTGAGGGGGTGTGTGAGGGGGTGTATGTTGGGGTATGTGAGGGTGTGTGTGATGGTGTGTGTGAAGGGGGGGTGTGAGAGGGTGTGTGTGACGGGGGGTGTGAGGGTGTGTGTGAGGGTGTGTGTGACGGGGGGTGTGAGGGTGTGTGTGAGGGTGTGTGTGACGGGGGGTGTGAGGGTGTGTATGTGACGAGGTGTGTGTGACAGTGCATGCGAGGCTATGTGTGAAGGGCTGTGTGATGGGTGTGTGAGGGGGTTGTGAGGGGGGTTGTGTGTGCGGGGCTGTGGGATGGGGTGTGTGATGGAGTATGTGAGGGGGTGTTTGAGGGGGTGTGTGAGGTGGTGTGTGTGAGTGAGTGTGTGATGGAGTGTGTGAGGTGGTGTGTGTGAGTGGGTGTGTGATGGGGTGTGTGAGTGAGTGTGTGATGGAGTGTGTGAGGTGGTGTGTGTGATGGGGTGTGTGAGTGGGTGTGTGATGGGGTGTGTGAGGGGGTGTGTGAGGGGGTGTGTGAGGGGGTGTTTGAGGGGTGTGTCTCAACAGTTAGGGATCTGCACCCGAGCTGGTAGTTGGGGTCTGGAGGGGTGGAGGGCAGGAGTAGCAGGGTGACCGAAGGCATGGTCAAAGAGGAGGGTCTTGAGATGGGTCTTGAAGGAGGCAAAGGAGGGAGGGAGGAAGAGGGACTGTGTGATGGAGTTCCAGATCGTGAGGGCAGAGTGGCAGAATGCCCACTCATTAATGGTGGGGCAGGCGAGGTGGGGCACGGGAAGCAGGCTGGAGCCCACTAAGCAGAGGATGGTAGGGTGTTAGGTGGTCACAAAGGTAGTGGGGAGCAAGACCATGGAGGGCTTTGAAGGTGAGAACCAGGATCTTGAACTATATCCTCTGTGTGATGGGAAGCCAGTGGAGTTGGGGCAGGATGGGGGTGATAAGGTTGTGGAGCCTAGTGCAGGAGAGGACACGGGCTGCAGAATTCTGGATGATCTATGGAGGGAGGAATTGGGGAGGCCGACAAGCAGGGAGTTTGCGTAGTCAAGCCTGGATATTATAATAATAATCCTTACATTTGATATAGCGCTTTTCTCGTCTTCTAGACGTCTCAAAGCGTTTCACCGAATAGACTGTAAAGTGAATCGACTGTATATTTGTGGGCGAAACGCGGCAGCCAATTGTGCAAAGCAGTGTCCCACAAACAGTCGTGGATTGAAGTGACCAATTTATTATTGTTTTTTTTCTTGAGGGATTATTATCAGGCGTGTGGAATAAGGAAACTTGCCCAAGGCTTCGCCCTGCTGGGAATCGAACCCAGGTCTCTTAATTGCAAAGCGAGTGCTCTAACCACTGAGCTACAAGAGACATGAATGTGTGTGTGAGGGTTTTGGCAGCCTGTGGTGTGAGACAGTGGCAGAGACGGGCGATGTTACGGAGATGGGGGAAGGCAGAGCGGGTCATGGCACGGATGTGGGGGTAATGGACATTTGAGGGTCGAACAGGGTAACAAGATTCTGTATTGGCTCCGTGAGGTGTAGAGTGAAGGGGGATGTTGGGAGGGCTTCAGTCTTGTTGACATTCAACTGGACATTCACTGTTCGAAAAGAGAAGGAAGTGTCTCTTTCCTGGTCAACAATCCCCCACTCCATGGCTGTTCGGGGGGCGTTGTTGTGTATAAATTGATTGAGGTTCACCCACAAAACACACACTTTAACCTGCATTTTACAGCAAATCATGTGAAGATGTCTGAGATTCATGGAGTTGTTCTCCTGACACGAAAGGTTCTCTCTCTCTTTCTCTCTCTGTTGCTCCTCACTGTCAAGCCTGTGTGTGTTTGAGCTCAGCTGAGACCCAAGACACCAGGTCCTCACCTGATGGGTCAAAGTCTGTCTGACCCCTTGAAATTCCTCATGGTCTTAGCCTTAAGACTGTTGCTTTAACCCTTAAGTGACACGTGTAATAGTGAGACTGTTATGTGCTGAACTCCGTGTTTTGCTGGGTTTCAGAAAGCAAGTGGCACAATGGATGAGGGTGTGCAGGTTGGAATGGAGTGTGTGGCATGTCAGACTGAGGGGATGGGTGTGTGCTTGTTTACAGGCTACATCCCCAGCTACCTGGAGAAGGACGAACCTTGTGTTGTTTGCGGTGACAAAGCCACAGGATATCACTACAGGTGCATCACCTGTGAGGGCTGCAAGGTGAGAATGGCTGGGCATTAAACCCCCACTGCCCAACCTGTTCCCCCCACCCCACCCCACTCCCACACACTCCCCCTCCCCCACACACCCACAGCACTCAGCCCCCATCCCCACCATCAGCCCCCACCCCCACCCCCAGGCCTCAGGCCCCACCCCAACCATCAGCCCCCACCCCCAGTCATCTGCACCCCACAACCAGCCACCACCCCTACTCCAGACCCCCAGCCCGCAGTCCGGCCCCAACCCCAAGCCCCACCCCCATGACAAAACACCAGCCCCAGCCCCTAACCGCACCCCAGTCCTCACCCCAACCCAGTGACTGGGATGTGTTGTGTGAGTTCAGTTACTCTCCCTCCTTCTGCAGGGCCTCTCCAGGTCAGGCTGCCAGTGGTATTTTTTTGCTGAATTATGGCTGTTTAGCAACAGAATCCGACTCAAACTTCACTCAGTAACCAGACGCTTATCACATCTGGTCTGAGTTAAACTCAAACCCAAGTCCAGGAATGATTGCCATATCTGTAACGCACTGCACCCCCAACTCCCAGGGGGCAATGCCTTAACATAGATCATAGAATATTACAGCACGGAAGGAGGCCATTCGGGCCAGCCTGCCTTGGCCGGCTCTTTGGTAGTTATTTTTATTTATTTTGAAGAAGTTATTACCCGCGGAAAAATGATCCCCCAATCGACTAACAACCGGGTTCCTACTTACTGCTACATAAACAGAGGCGTGTGGAGAAAGGAAACTTGCTCAACTTTTTGCCCTGCTGGGAATCAAACTCATGTCTCTTGCTTGCAAGGCAATTGCTCTAACCACTGAGCTACAGGACTCCACTGTAGCTTAGTGGAGGCTACAGGCTTTGGATGAGCCATTAACTTGAGGTCCCTCCTCTCTGCGCCTGTACAGGGAGAATATTAAAATTCCTATTGGAAAAGGGACCGGAGTTTATCTCCTGGTTTTACTCAGTTTTCAGGATCTGGAGGCAAAGTCCATTGTGGGTTTCAAGCAGAAAGTAATAATAATCCTTGCATTTGATACAGCGCCTTATCATGTCCTTGAGACATCTCAAAGCGCTTCACTGTGAAGTGAATTGACTGTATATTTGTGGGCAAAACACGGCAGCCAATTGCGCAAACAGTCGTGGAGTGAGTGACCAATATAAGGAATTATTATGTCCAGAAAAGCAAATCGCCAATCGACTAACAACTGGGTTCCTACTCACTGCTGAGTAAACAGAGGTGGGTGGAATAAGGAAACTTAACCAACGTTTCACCCTGCTGAGAATCAAACCCAGATCTCTTGCTTGCGAGGCGGCTGAGCTACAGAACTCCAAGTATATAATAAACATATAAATATGTATATATTATAAAGGGGCAGTGGGATTGAATGAACGGCTTGCTCTGAGAGCCAGGGCTCATCAATGGCATTGTTCTGTGCCGTATATTTCTATGATTCTATATCCTGGCCAACAAACTCCCCAGATCATTGCTTCCTCGCTGTGTGTCAACAGGGTGCAAATTGGATGCTGCGTTCGTAAACAAACAATCACTACACTGAGTGTGGGTGGGGAGGGGCAGTGTAGGTGGGGGATTAGCCAGTTTGGGTCTGGAGGAGCCAGTGTGGGTCTGGAGGAGCCAGTGTGGGTGGGGAGGGGCCAGTGTGGGTGGGGGAGGGGCCAGTGTGGGTGGGGAGGGAGCCAGTGTGGGTGGGGAGGGGCAGTGTGGGTGGGGAGGGGAGCAGTGTGGGTGGGGGAGGGGAGCAGTGTGGGGGGGGAGGGGAGCAGTGTGGGTGGGGGAGGGGAGCAGTGTGGGTGGGGGAGGGGAGCAGTGTGGGTGGGGGAGGGGAGCAGTGTGGGTGGGGGAGGGAGCAGTGTGGGTGGGGGAGGGGAGCAGTGTGGGTGGGGGAGGGGAGCAGTGTGGGTGGGGGAGGGGGCAGTGGATTGAGGGTGGGGTGGGGGCAGTGTGGGCGGGAGAGGGGGCAGTGGATTGAGGGTGGGGTGGGGGCAGTGTGGGCGGGGGAGGGGGCAGTGGATTGAGGGTGGGGTGGGGGCAGTGTGGGCGGGGGGAGGGGCAGTGGAATTGAGGGTGGGGTGGGGGGCAGTGTGGCGGGGAGGGGGCAGTGGATTGAGGTGGGGGGGGGGCAGTGTGGGCGGGGGAGGGGGCAGTGGATTGAGGGTGGGGTGGGGGCAGTGTGGGCGGGGGCTGTAGGGACTGGCCTGGGTGGATGCCCGGGGGATGCTGATGTCCTGTGTGTTACTGTCCAGGGTTTTTTCAGGAGAACGATCCAGAAGAACCTTCACCCGACTTATTGCTGTAAATACATGGAGTCGTGTCTGATCGACAAAATCACCCGGAACCAGTGCCAGCTTTGCCGCTTCAGGAAGTGCACGGCTGTGGGGATGGCCATGGACCGTACGTGAGCTCCTCACCTCCTACACTGTTCTGTGCTTATCTGAGAAGGGAGGGCGTCACCATCAGTCCACCTCCCCCTCCCCATCTGCACCTCGCCCTCCCCTCCACCTCCCCCTCCCCATCTCCCTCTCCACCTCCCCCTCCCCATCTGCACCTCGCCCTCCCCTCCACCTCCCCCTCCCCATCTCCCTCTCCACCTCCCCCTCCCCATCTGCACCTCGCCCTCCCCTCCACCTCCCCCTCCCCATCTCCCTCTCCACCTCCCCCTCCCCATCTCCTTCTCCCCATCTCCCTCTCCACCTCCCCCCACCCAGCCCCTCCCCCTCCATCTCCCAGGATTTTTTAAATTTATCTTGAAATATCACCTTGAAACCCAGCTGTTTGACTGTGCTGGGTGCTCCCACCCTCGGTGTGCGTTTGTGTTATGTGAAGGGGTCTCAGTCGGTCTGTGTGCACCACAAGTCGCTGGGGATAAGGTGTCATTTTTACTGACGTTATTTCTGAAGGGATGATCGGAGCGTCCGAGCCTCTGTGAGGGAATCAGCTGAAGTGGGACTGACTGTGCGGTTCCTTCCTTCTCACCAGTTGTCCTGGACGACGGCAAACGCATCGCAAAGAGGAAGCTGATTGAGGAAAATCGCGAAAAGCGCAGACGAGAGGAGGTGGTCAAGAACCTACAGAACAAACCAGAGCCCACACCCGAGGAATGGGAACTGATCCGCGTGGTCACCGAGGCTCACATGGCAACCAACGCACAGGGCAGCCACTGGCGCCAGAAACGGAAATTCCTGGTAAGAGTTCCAATGGTTACAGTTCTCCCCAAAGAGAAACTCACTTCCCGCTGCTTCAGCTATGACTGTCATGGCTCCTCATTGTGGCTCAGCAAGTGCACCGCTGAGCAGGGAGGCAAACCAGAGGCTCTCACGTCTACTTATCTTAGCCAGGGTGTCAGGAGAAGCCTTGGCCATCGGCCTTAGCAGCCAAGGTGAGCGAGGGAGTGGGAGGAGAAATCAGTCAAGATTCCTGCGCCTGGTTCCTAACTCCCAATGGAAGAAGCACAGGTTCACCTGTAAATACAGTCACTACACTTCACAGTAAAATCCTGTTCAGGAATTTTGAGACAATTTGACAATGTAATAAAAGTAAAATGCAAGAATTAATTCTGATGGGATGTTGTGCTAACTCTGTGGTTCACATCAAGCACATAGAGTGGATCAGGAATCAGGGCAACAAAACTTTTTTGACAACCTTTGAGCCGTTTAGGCAGACAGCAACTCTCTCCCAGTGAATTTCCTCCCACTATCTCATAGAATGATAGAAATTACAGCTCAGGAGAAGGCCATTTGACCCACCAAGTCTGTCCCGTGTCTCAGAGGGTGGAGTTCATTCAATCCCATCGCCCCATCCTACACCCAGGTACCTTCAAACCTCTATCCTTCAGATATTCATCTACAGCAGAAGCTGCTTAAACCGGACACATCTGCGGCAGCCATTCTGTCCGGCTTAAGTGGCGTCTGAGGTTGGCCGAGGTTCCATTATCTCTCCCTGCCCAGCGGAGGAGCAGCAGAACCTCTCCCTCCTGTTGCCATTCCCATTGGACCTGAAGTGGACCAATTTGCAGAGGTTTTGAGTTGATTGACAGCCTTGGAGCAACTCCATCCAATCACAATCAGCTCCAGGCCTGTCAATCAGTTGTGTCTTGATGTTTCCCTTTTCCCTGCCTGGTTTCTGACCAGATTAAATGGCAGATTTCTCTCTTTCTCTCTCTCTCTCACTCGTTCTCTTGCTCGCTCTCTCAGTCTCTCTCCTCTCTCTCGCTCTCCACTTCCTTGCTCGGGTAAAATTAATCTCAATCTCCATCCGCAGCCAGAAGATATTGGGCAATCATCGCTAGTCACCACACCAGAAGGAGACAAAGTGGATCTGGAAGCCTTCAGCCAGTTCACTAAGATTATCACCCCGGCCATCACAAGAGTCGTGGACTTTGCCAAAAAACTGCCCATGTTTTCTGAGGTATTTTTATTCTTTATGTTTCCTTTTTGGGGTTTTTTTTTCCTTGCAAAAAAACTTTGATGGCCTGAGAGGGGTTGAGAGGTCGGGTATTATTTAATGATTCTTTTAAAATAGGTTATTTCCAAGGTGACTGTTTTGAATAAATGAAACATAAACAGAAGTCGCTGGGAACACTCAGCAGGTCAGGCAGCATCAATGGGGAAAGGAAAGTAAGTCAACATTTTGGGTCTGCAACCCGAAACATTGACTCACTTTCCTTTCTCCATAGATGCTGCCTGACCTGCTGAGTGTTCCCAGCGACTTTTGGTTTGGGTTCAGATTTCCAGCGTCTGCAGTATTTTGCAACTGGTTTGAATAAATGTTCAATGGCCAATAGTTTTCTCCAAATCTAACTGTTTTTGCTACTTTCTTTCGTGCCTCAATTTTGCGGAAAAAAATCTTTTTTTATTTCCCCGATTACTCTCCCTGATAACCACAGCCAGACCCCGACCCACCCCCCAGCTCCAGTAACACCCCCCCAACCCCCAGCACCAAACCCACGCGCCAGCCCACCCCCCCAGCCCCAGTAACACCCTCCAACCCCCAGCCTCACCCTCCACCTCTAACCCTAGACCCAGCCCCAGTAACACCCCCCAGCCCCCATTCCCAAACCCATGCCCCAGTAACAGACCCCAGCCCAGTCCCCAATCCCAGTCCCCAACCCTAACCGCGCCCTCAACCCCAGGCTCCAGCTCCCAGCCCCCCGCCCCCAGCTCCCAGCCCCCAGCCAAGTCTCCGGCCCCAACCCTAACCATCCAGCCCCTAGGTCCAACCCCAGGCCCCAGGGCCAAACCCAGCCCCCACCCCCAGCCCCCACCCCCCAGCCCCCACCCACACCCCCAGCCCCCACCCCCACCCAGCCCCCACCCCAGCCCCCACCCCCACCCCCAGCCCCCACCCCCAGCTGGGTCCAGGCATCCAACAGGTTTGCAACAATTCAATTCTTCCTCAGTCCATTGGCAAACTCTGAAACCCTGACCAACTCAAGCCACAGTCAACGAAGATTAGTTTGGGTTTTTCTCAAGCTTTTTGTTGAGGATCAAACATGGAATAACAGTTCCTGATATTTTGGAGGTTGTCCGGCCCTGTGGAGTTGGAAACCCTCCCTGTGTTTTTCAATTAAAAATGAATATTTACTGGAAAATAAAAAACAAGGGATAAATATTGAATTCTGGTGGTACCTGATCCTGCAGAGCTCCGTCTCTCCCAGGAAATCAATCACCTCAGAGGAGTTCCTGTGGGAATCTGGACACCAGCAGGATTTCGTTGTACGATTCCTACACAAATCCAGGCTGCATTTGGAACTCTTGTGATACATCACTGAGCTGTTGGGCCGCCTGGTCTCACCACCAGGCAGGCAGTGAGATACTGTAACTGGCTTCGGTGCTGGGTTATAATCCTTGCATTTTGGTATAGCGCTTTTCACATCGGGAGAACGTCCCAAAGCGCTTCACAAAACACACTGTAAAGTGAATTGACTGTATATTTGTGGGCGAATGCGGCAGCCAATTGCGCGCAGCAATGTCCCACAAACAGTCGTAGATTGAAAATGACCAATTTATTATTGTTTTGGGTTTTTGGAGGGATTATTATTAGGCTCTGTGTGGAGTAAGGAAACTTGCCCAAGGTTTCGCCCTCTGCCTGGAATTGAACTCAGGTCTCTGACTTGCAAAGCGAGTGCTCTAACCACAGAGCTACAGGACTCCACAGTCAGAGTTAGGACAATCAGTCGGAGTTCCTGCTCCACATCCTGATGACTCTCCCTTGACACCCTACTGGAAGGTGTGAGCCTGTGATGAGGACGGAATCAGGTTGGGTTCTGTGGCTGGGGGTTGGGGGGTGGTGGGAGTTGCTGGGATGAGGAGCTGGAGAGAGAGAACGTTGTGTTTCACATGTTTGTCATTGTGGGACATTGTTTATGCATATGTTTTGTTAAGATATAATTTGAAGCCAAATTAAGGCCCAATTGAAGGCTTCCTCAACTTTGTACCATGTTAAATTTTCAGACAAAAATGGTTGAGATTGGGTGGAATTTGTGGCCTGTGAACAATTTATTTTGGAATAACAAACTCTGCGGTTTGTTTCTGTGTTTTTTTGGGGGGTCGGTAGCTGCCTTGTGAAGACCAAATCATCCTGTTGAAGGGCTGCTGTATGGAGATCATGTCTCTGAGAGCTGCTGTTCGCTATGATGCAGAGAGCGAGACCTTAACACTAAATGGAGAAATGGCTGTGAAGAGAGAACAGCTGAAGAATGGAGGTCTCGGTGTGGTGTCAGATGCTATATTTGAACTGGGGAAGTCTTTATCAGCCTTTAATCTGGATGACACAGAAGTAGCCTTGCTCCAGGCTGTTTTACTGATGTCCTCAGGTAATGAAGTCAATGTGAGGAGCTAAAAATTCTTGGATGTGTCCAAGTTTTTGATATAACAGGCACTGTTTATAGAATCATAGAGGTTTACAGCACAGAAGGAGGCCTTTCAGCCCATCGAGTCGGCACTGCGTCTCAGGGTTCATTCAATCCCACTGCTCCGCGCTATCCCTACACCACTTCAAGCCTCTCTCCGTCACACACCCGTGCACTTCCTTTGGTAGGTTTAGAGCTGTAAAGGGCAATTTCAGGACAGACACCAAGTTTTTTTTTAACCAGAGGGGAATAAATGACTGGGAGAGAGTTGCCAGGGAGGACGATTGAGACCGAGACACTGGGACGCATTTAAAAAAGCCGCTTGACTCTGTGATGGGAGGAGTTTCTGGAAGATGAGATCAGAAGCGTCTTCTTCATCCAAAATGACGTTGTGATCTTATGAGAATTTTTAAATGGTTTTACTTCAGGTGAGAATCCTCTGATGTTAAACCGAGGTCCTATCTGCCTGTCCAGGTGGAGGTTAAAGATCCCAGGGTGCTATTCAAAAAGAAAAGGGAGTTTCTCCAGGTTTCCTGACCAACAATCCCCCAAATAAAATGAGTCATTCACTCAGGGCTGTTCGCGGCACTTTGTTGTGAACAAGTTGGCTGCTGAGTTTGCTCATCAAATACACGCAGTCTCGTGGCTTTACACTAAATTCTGTGAAGTGCTTTGAGAAGTCTCAATCACGTGATAAGGATCTTTATGAAATGCAACTATTATTGTTGGAGAAAATGGACAAAATAACTAGCCACGGCTTGTTGTTTCTTGCAGATCGAACAGGACTAACTTGGATAGAAAAAATAGAGAAATGCCAAGAGGCCTACCTCCTGGCATTCGAACACTACATAAACTACCGCAAACACACCATCCCACACTTCTGGCCAAAGCTGCTGATGAAGGTGACAGACCTGCGAATGATCGGTGCTTGCCATGCCAGCCGCTTTCTGCACATGAAGGTGGAGTGTCCCACAGAGCTGTTCCCTCCCCTGTTCCTGGAGGTTTTCGAGGATCAGGAAGTGTAAGCGCCTTCGGACGTCCTCCCGACGTGAAAGATAAATGGAATCTTTTTGTTGTTGTTGTTGTAAGCTGCCAGTTTGAAGCAACAAAAAAAACAGAGAAACAAACAAGGAAACACAATCCATTACACGTCTGGCTGCAAGCTTTGTGGGTCCCACTCCTCCTCCAAACTCAAAACAGAAACCATTCCATTTATGCGGGTACCAGTTCCAAACCTTTGGAAGTCGTTAGCATCTCTTGATCCTTTTCACGCTCTTGTCTTGTCAAGGACGGGCAGTGCTGACTGGATATGCATTTGCTACTTTAGAACTGATTATGTTATATAAAACACAGCCAGACTCCACAAACCCAATCGGTCATGATGGAAGTCATTCCTCATTATTTCCGTTCAGCACGACAACTCATTGTTTGTGTATCATTTTCAAAAAACATTCAGCAGATGCAATGTTGTACACTTGCTCTGTGTGTATATGTGTGGATGAATGTGTGTGTACATGTCTGTGTAGGGTTATGTGTGTCTGTCTGGGTTTATATGTGCATGGGTGTATGTGTGCATGTGTGTATGGTTATGTGTTTCTGTCTGGGTTTATGTGTGTATGGGTATGTATGTGCGTGCATGGATGTGTATGTGTGTGCATGGGGGTGTGTGTGCATGGGTGTGTGTGTGTTTGTGTGCATGGGTCTGTGCATGGGTGTGTGTGTGCATGGGTGTGTGTGTGGTTGTGTGTATGTGTGTCTGTGTCCATGGGTGTGTGTGTGCATAGGTATGTGTGTATGCATGTGTGTGTGTGTGTGTGTATACATGGGTGTGTGTGTGTGTAGTGTTAAGAGCCTCTTGTGTTCTGAAAACCATTTTCTATGAGAGGAAGTGATTTATAGCTAAATGAAGCCATGAACATCTTTACCTCAGTGAGACCTGGAGGAACAGTGACACTGGATGAACAAAATACAGGTTGGGGCCTGGTAGTTGGAAGGAATGGGAGGGACAAGCTGTGGTGACCGACCGGCCAAAGCTTTCGACAAAAGGAAAGGGTCCAAAAAATCTCCCGTCTTTGTCACTACGTCTCAACACCCCCCCACCCCCCAACCCCCACCCTCCACTGCAACCCCCAGACTGTCTCCATTAGGTCCTCTCTGATGTTGAGCTGACTCCCACAGCAACGCAGTGTCAATCGTGCCTGTTGGTTTGACAAGCTGGGGGTGGGAGGGGAGGGGAGGGGGTGTTGTGGGGGTATAACCTTCTCAGGCTCAGGTGAGATGAGGAGAGCTGCTGCTCAGGAAGGTTGGAGACAAGTCCACTGCTAGTCAGACCTCAGAGAGACACAGAACCCACGGTTTGTGCTCAGATTGTATGTCCCATAGACAGATGATTCCTTATGGCCTGAGCGTTGATGCTGTCTGGATTACCTGTCATTTAACCCTTCAGTGGCTGTTGCTCAGTAACACTTTTCCACATTACACTTCATAACGTTCATAAGCACAAGTCTACAGACCAGGAAACACTTATATAATAATAATAATCAATTTCTCAGCTGAAACAAGTGAGTGAAGGAAGGAATGTCAGTTCCTTCTCTTCCCAGCAACTTGTATTTCCTCCAGTGAAGAGTCAGTTCTCAAAAAAAAGACAAATTCATTGAACGTCTGCAAAACAGCCTGACTAGGTTTTACAGATTAGTGTTTGCGGCGACCATTTGGCTTCGGATTTACAAGAGAAAGAAACAGGAAAAACAGGTCAATGTGATGTGTCAACATCTTGTCTGGAGAGTGAATGATGCGATTGTTTTTATTTTAGAAATATCTGTCCCTAAAGAAAGCTGAAGCTTAATATAATAATAATAATAATCCTTGTATTTGATGCAGCACCTCATCACGTCTTCAAGACGTCTCAAAGCGCTTCACAAAATACACTGTAAAGTGAATTGACTGTATATTTTGTGGGTGAAACGCAGCAGCCAATTGCGCACAGCAGCGTCTCCCAAACAGTCATGATTTGAGTGACCAAATTATTTTTTTNCTTTGTTTAAGGGATTATTACCCCTGGAAAAGCGATCCGCCAAATGACTAACATCCAGGTTCCTACCTACTGCTGGTAAACAGAGGCGTATGGAGTAAGGAAACTTGCCCAACGTTTTGCCCTCCCGGGAATCAAACCCAGGTCCTCTCGCTTGCGAGGCGAGTGCTCTACCCACTGAGGTACAGGACTCCACACGCTTGTTAACAGGTGAAGTGGTTTGCGAGGAGGGAGATCTGGAGGCTTGCAGGGAGGTCTAGCAGAGGAGCAATTTGACGGATTCACAAAATATTTATGATAGGTTTACGATGGTGGTGAGAGCTGGGGAGGGGCGTGAGAGAGCAATGATGAGGGAGTGGACAGAGAGGTTGGTACTGCCCCCGGTAAGGCATGATATATGAATTCAAGTTGTTGCTTTGAAATTTTGCTGTGAATAACCTCGCCCATGACGCGCACAGTCTCTACACTTTACAGTAAATCCTGTGAGGCTCTGTGAGTTTTCTCGATGTGAACATCAAGTGTGAGGAATATTATTATTAATTCAGCTTTAACATCCATCACAGGCCCTTTGAATTGGAATCCAGATTTGTTGACTGGTCAAATTGGGGTAAGATACTGAAATGTGAATGCTGTTTTTAATGCACACTTTATCATTACACAAACACAGAGACTGTCACCAGTTTCTCATCGCTGCTGACTGCCAGAAACATTGCTGCTAATTCACGACAGGATAAGGCCACTGAAGGGTTAACGATCAGAGCTGAAGGGATCTTCTCAGGTACAAACCCAGGATAAGTTTAAAAGTAGATTAATTGTAGATAAATATTTTATTTGGAATTGTAACAAGGTTGTGATGTCTGAACTCTGATTGTTTTTACAGTGTTGAGTTGCCTTTTTGTAGTTACAAAGGTTTCTCACAGTTTTCTCCCCAATTTGCACAATTGTGAATTTTAAGGTCACGGTCTTAAGGTTCAGAACCAGGAGATTTATCTCCCAGTGAGTGGGGGTGAGGGAGGGGGGACACTCCAGCACAGTTTGACCCATGTTAAAGGGCCCCGTGTTAAAGGTCCCTCCAGCGTGAGGTATGGAGTCTCCTCCATTGTGGATGTATAGTGTCTTCTCAAGGGCTGAGTCTGTGCTCTGGATTGACCACACGCACCCACAGTTGCTGTGCTCAGGAGACCAGAGCAAAGTAAACAATCTTACAGAGCTGACAGGAGTTTACATGGTGGTTCAGTGCGTGAACAATCTCCTATCAACGACTCAGTGGAGGTGCAGAGCACAACTCACCTTCCTTTAGATTGTACGATACGACATGGGAACAAAACTCTTCTCTTGTGAATCCGCCATTGACGATCCATCCTTTCTTTGGATCACTTTGCCGCCCTTTGGCTGAAATCGTCAACTCTAATGATCTCCCAAAGAAATCGATCATCAACACACACAGGAACATGGAAAACTTCTGAGATCAGCAATCGCACCTTTACAGGACTGAGTGTCTTCTCTGTCTCACTTAATTATCTCTCCAGCCCAGAGGTGAAATGTCTGAGGATATTTTAAGGCTGGGCGGGGGTGGGTGCGGGAGGACAGCCCCACAATAGTTACCACAAATGGTTGATGGCCCAAAGGTTCATAGCATCGTTTGCATTATATTGAGTATTTGTTATTGTTATTTCTGCTGGTTGATGGGGGCTGTTAGGCTGTGATCAGCTCCAACTCCAGTCAGAATATAAGTGTTTCTCTATAGAATTTGAAATGTCAGTTTATCCAGGCTCGAGACAGACTCCTTATGGTGGCCAATATCTCAGCAACTTCCTCCCGTCTCCTCTCCTGAGCTGTTAGTGAGGCCTCAGTCACTCACTGGCACTCACTAACCTGTGTCCTGGAGACTATCCCTGACTGGAAAGCCAACTGCTCCCCGGGGCCCGATCCCCGCCCCTGACCCTGACCAGTCAGTAAGCTGTGCGGGGCTGGGCAGCCAAGCCTGGAGAGGAGTGTGACAGTTTGTGTCTCAAGCCTGTCTGGCGCTCAGCTACTCTGATCAGCTGCATAATAATAATATAAAAACAGCGACATTTTTCTTCATTTACCGCTTCTCCTGCAGTTGTGCTGACTATGTTTACATGTTTATAAAGCGTTGCTGTAACTCGCACGGCCTGTCTGTGCCTCTGCCTGTCTGCCTGCGCTGGGCTGGGGCGATGTCTACAGGAGAAGAAACTTCTCAATAAGAAAAAGTTGCGGGCGACACAGATTCAGTTATATTTCCCGAACTGAAACCTCCTTTGGATATGTGGGGGTGGGGGCTGTGTTCAGGGGGGGCTGTGTTCAGGGGGGGCTGTGTTCAGGGGGGGTGGGGACTGTGTTCAGGGGGGGCTGTGCTCAGGGGGGGCTGTGCTCAGGGGGGCTGTGTTCAGGGGGGCTGTGTTCAGGGGGCTGTGTTCAGGGGGGGCTGTGTTCAGGGGGGGCTGTGTTCAAGGGGCTAAGTTTTGTTCAGTGAGGGTTGTGTTCAGAGGGGGCTGTGTTCCGGGGGGCTGTGTTCATAGAGGTGCTGTGTTCAGGTGGGGCCTGTGTTCAGGTGGGGGCTGTGTTCGGGGGGGAGGGCTGTGTTCAGGGGGCTGCGGCTTTGTTGAGTGGGGGTTGTGTTCATGGGGTGCTGTGTTCAGGGGGAGGGGCTGTGTTCAGTGGGGGGCTGTGTTCAGGGAGGGCTGTGTTCAGGGGGGTTTGTGTTTATGGGGTGCTGTGTTCAGGGGGAGGGGCTGTGTTCAGGTGGGGACTGTGTTCAGGGGGGCTGTGTTCAGAGGGTGGGGCTGTGTTCCAGGCGGCTGTGTTCAGTGGGGGCCTGTGTTCACGTGTGGGCTGTGGTCAATGGGAGGTGCTGTGTTGGGTGGTGCTGTGTTCCGGGGGGCTGTGTTCAGGGGGCTGCGGCATTGTTGAGCCGGGCTGTGTTCATGGGTGGCTGTGTTCAGGGGGGGCTGTATTCATGGGAATTTGTATTCATGAGGGGATGTGTTCAGGGAGGCTGTATTCATGGGGGGCAGTGTTCAGGGGGTGCTGTGTTCAGGGGAGGGGCTGTGTTCAGGTGGGTGCTGTGTTCAGGGGAGGGGCTGTGTTCAGGGTGGGGGCTGTGTTCAGGGGAGGGGCTGTGTTCAGGGGGGCTGTGTTCAGGTGGGTGCTGTGTTCAGGGGAGGGGCTGTGTTCAGGTGGGTGCTGTGTTCAGGGGAGGGGCTGTGTTCAGGTGGGTGCTGTGTTCAGGGGAGGGGCTGTGTTCAGGTGGGTGCTGTGTTCAGGGGAGGGCTGTGTTCAGGGTGGGGGCTGTGTTCAGGGGAGGGGCTGTGTTAAGTGGGGCTGTGTTCAGGTGGGTGCTGTGTTCAGGGGAGGGGCTGTGTTCAGGTGGGTGCTGTGTTCAGGGGAGGGGC